GAGTCTAGAGCAATCTGATTTTAAACCTTTGCAAAGCATTCATTACTTTGCAAAGCGCAGTTTGTTGTCAGTCTCATCGACAGCTTGAGGCTTGTACGCCTTGAAAAGCTCATTGTGAAGGGCGAAACTCAAGATCGGCGGCGTGGCGCCCAGAACAAACAGAACAAATACTTACATTTCAAACATTTCCAGCACTGTCAACCTTTGAAAGGGTGCAACCCCCACACCCTGGAGCCTATTTCACAAATGTTCAGAGCAGTGGATGTACTGACTCACCACTGGGATTTCAGTAGCAGAGCTAAACGTGTTACTCTAGGACTCTAGTTGCATCTTCAAAATCAAAGGACGTTGAGATGAACACTCCGGAGCTACCGAGACAAAAGAATCGCAGAATTTAGAAGTTATTTTTGCGTCCAAAACGTACGTAAGAAGACGCTCAAAATGTACTGTAGTGTTTTTGTAGGGGACATTGTGAGTGCTGGGTTGTAACATCTTTGCTTGTCTATTGCCCCAAGTTATAGCAATGTTCCTGTCAAGTTTCGCAGGTGTTTTCTTGGCCTCGTGAGGCTACACTTGTTCAGTCTTCTTGACATGACCGCTGACTGAACTCCTACTGAATGGCAGCACATAACACCGTCATGCCCCAGAAAAGCAATGTCAATCATTTTTGCCCGACTGAATCGTCATCGATTTGCTATAGGAGATCACCTTCAGATGGCATCTGGCTCGTAGAACAAACTGATGGAAACGGGCTCCCCAAACCTCTTACCGGAGAGCAGGGTTTCAACGTGTGGATGCCATCAATGTGTGCAGCCGGAATGGTGTGTCATTTGGTGTGGTTCGCTGCGTTTGTGTCCTCTCGTTGGATGCCATCCCACACCCCTAAACCCCACCTCACTCACGCCCTTGTTTCCCGGAGGAGTCATGCAAGTTGATCCGCAATGTTTCATACTAAATGCCATCTTTGTTCCTGGCAGTTCGCATCTCCAGTCGTGGATACCATAGAGGTTTGATGCATTCTTGTGCAAATGGATTGTAACAAAACTGGATGCCATCAGCTTGTTCTTGGCTGAGACATGTTGAGTCTGGCTTTGCTAGATGGCATCTGAGATGCCAGATGCCAAAATCACAAACAAGTGGCATTCCACAGGCGCTTTGCGAATACCATTTGAGTGTGATCCCCTATATTGTTGCTTTAGTGGGTGGACAGGCGTAGGCGGTAGTTGTGTTTGCCTGAGATTCTGATGGGCTGGCACGAGCCAGCTGACTTAGTGAGGTCCGGAACAGTTGCACCAGAAGCGGGCGCAAATGTCGTGTCTTTGCAATTTTCTTCGCCATTGAAGCCACTACTTGCGACACAGTGGAAGCATCACAAAGCCAGCTGAGCAAGCCCTTGTTTGTGATCAAGAACCGTTCCTGGGCTATGTTGCTTCACGAGGGCTGGTGCAGGGCTCTAGTTTAGTTGGCTGTGATTTCTGAAGCTGTTGATTGAAAGGCTCAAAACCGACTTGGTGGTTCAAAGTGGGCGCTTTGGTACGTCTACCTGGTATTGCAGGCGGCTCCTATTGAAGGTCTGACTGTTGCAAGTTGAGAGGCGCATGTCTTGCCAGCGTCGCCGGGGCTGTCTCCACGGCATTGGTCTTGACAAGATTGAGACTGGCGGGAACCTTCGGGAGAAAGTGCCGGATGCCATGCGCAGTTGCACAGTGTATTTGGTTCTTCGCGTCTTTGCAACGCAGGAGCTGCTAGGCGCCTTCAAAGCTCGGGCACCGCTTGATTCTGTTTTGCTGTGGGGGGACGCCGGCGCAGAAGCCGCGCAGGGGTTCGAAGGCAGACAAAATTGTCCAGTTGTAGCAAACCTGCTGTGAAGTGATGTGTTGCACTTGCTGCCAAAGCCCTGCTGCTGCTGCTGCTGCTGCTGCATCGGGCACGCAGTCTCTTTGACCTCCAAAAACTCCAAGTGCTCAAAGAAGGCTTCCGGATAGCGGCGGGGTAACCGCCATCTTCATATTGCCGCAGCCCGTCCCTGAGAAACCAGCGGCCAGGCTCACCGTTGCAGCGCAGCTCATCTTCCACAAAGACGGGAAGAACGACGCATACCGTGCAGCCACGGAAGTCTCTATCTTGTTGTGGAAGACAGAAGCTTCAGCCAGTAGTCAGCACAGGGCCCGCAAGTCAAAACGCCCGCTTGGGCGGGCTAGTAGTAGCTCCTGTCGCCTCAATGATTGAACGTGTGTTTGCCTGATACCGTTCTGGCAACACACGAGCGGAAATAAGAAAAGCAACATTTGCGCGACGACCGCCGCCGCCACAGCTGCCACTCATAGTGCTTTAAGAAAGTTAACTAGGTGCTTTGAAGCGCTATAGTATAGGATTTCCAAAAGGTAAACCACCGGGCTTGGGAAATTGCCCAGGCCTTGTCGCAAAATATGCAACTAATTGCATTGCCTACACCTGTTCCACTAACAGCGAGGCCTGGATAGTCGAGGGCGCCAAGAAAAGTGTATCGCGGCGTTGTTATGTGCTGCGTGTGCGAGAAGGTATTGGAAACTCCTGAGAACAGCTTTCTTTCTCCAAGTGCCAATATCAATATACACATGGGTTTGGGCCACCGCTCAGCCTATCTCTGACGCTGTAACCTTGTGTGAGTGGGAGGTCGCAAAGGGTCCCGCTGCAGAAATGGAAGTGCAACTTGCGGCGCGGGCTGGCAGGCGGAAAGTAGCTAAGTAGATCCTTCAGGCATCGACAAGTAGGGTTTCTTAGATGGAGCGTCGGAGAGAAACGTATGTAAAAGGTGACTTCACCACACACCGACATCCCCTTGCATCACCAACTACTGCGTACAAATCGCCGAGACCTTCACGGCCATGGGATTTAGCCGTGACAGCGTCGACGCCGCGCTTGGCGTTAGGCAAAGGGCGCCCACGGGAGGAGACGCGTGACATGGCCCAAGGAGCCACGCAGGAGGAGACCAATCATTTTGTTTTGACGATGGGCTCTTTTGCGTGTCGTCGTTGCGAGACTTGCAGGCTTTTCCACGTGACCAGGTCGTGTCGTGTAATACTAGTGTGGCATCACACGCGCACCATGACATTTCACTCCCGCACGCTTCACTTCACCGCCGCACTGACGATCAAATGCGCAAGGCAAATCAAAGCAACACATTGCAAAGCCGCCGCAAGCCACGACAAGCAACAACACCACACACAACTTCAAACCATATCAGCGCAGAATGAAAGTATTGAAGTTTCTGCTTCCAGGTCCTACCGGAGATTTCCTGGTAAATTTGGAAAAGGCTATACACTAGAACATTCAAAACAGTTTTCATGGCATGGCTGAGCGCGCATGCGCGGCACATGTTTTCGACCTCAAGGCCGAAAAGGCGTGTTGCACTTTGCCCGCAAGAGCGTCCACCAGAGCACACGAGCGAAGACGGTGTCAGCCAACAGCTCTCCGAGTCAGACAAACAAGAGTCAGAAAACGCAGCGGCGCGCGACGTGCTATGTGCAGCATGTGGCCCGCTGGACGACGACCTGGTCGAAGAAAGCATACCTGGGTTGGCCAATGGTGACAGGGTTAAGCCAATGGTGAGGGCAGGCCCGGGCAACCCTGGTTCTGGGCCGGATCCTTCAGACCACGGAGACGCTGAAGCCAAGAAGAAGCCAGCCCCAAGCTCCCGACGAGCTGCCGCTCCGAGTAAACGAAGTCCAAAGCCAAATTCGCCAAGTCTGTGACCGTCTAAAGCCAAATTCGTCAGCTTCGTGCTACGGCGCCGGCCAACGGCGCCGGCCAACACGTGGAGCCTTTCTATGCTGGGTGACATGGCACACGGCGCCGGCCGACGCGACACTTCAGCGCCGGCCCACGCGACACCCAGCCGGCTGACTCACGCCGGCCGACACGCACCATAGCCCACACGACACGCCAAAAAGAGCATTCATCCATGTTCTGACGTCAGTTCAAGAATCGGTGTGTGCATGTGTATGTATATGTGTTTCTTGATTTTCTCATTCTTCGGTCTCGTTTTTCTATTGTTCTCAACTTGCTTAGGCCCAAGTGCTTAGTCAAGGGCAACAATGCCATCGTTTGGTTGCAGCTCAATGAGAAGGCACAAGTACCGCTTTCCACTGGCCACTGGCTGTGTAGTGTCAGATTTGTTGCTTGGGCTGCGTAGAAAAGACGTATATAGATGCAGCTCAATGTGACTCGAGGTTTGCGTAGAACCAAAGTCGCAGTCTTCAGCTATGACGCCGTGTGATCCCTCAGAAGAAAAAAGCGTAGTCTTGTAGTGAAGATTTCATGATCTCTTTGTTTCACATATGTTTTCTCTTTTGTTTTTATTTGTGTGTGGTTTTTGTTCTCTCTCTCTCTCTCTCCCTCTCATTTTCTTCTCTGTCTGGCTTTGTTCGTTTTTGCCTCCTTCCAAGCAGAGCAAGAGCCTAGAATCGTAGAAACCCAGTCATAGGCTCAGCCGATTCGTACTCCGTGACCGTGGTCGCACGGTGCTGATCTCAAGACATCAATCTAAACAGTTCGAGCATGAACATTTTCCAAAGCATTGAACATGCGCACTTTGAGATTCAATACACATTTGTCAGGGTTTGCGGTTCTTTAGACATGCCATTCTATTTTGAGGCTGGTCAAGTGCTGGTCAAGCTAGGTTTACTATCTGCAAAACACACAAATCCAACATAGGCGAATTCCACTGCATATGGTTGTTTTGTGAGGTTGGTGCTGGAGTCGTGCTGGCTGTGCAGTAGGACTGACCGAGAGAGAGGGTGCAACTTGTGCGTACACAAAAAGTTTTATAGTTGCATTCCCAAATCATGTCCAGGTGATTCGTCTCTGCTTACTGCAGCCTCCATTGCTGGCCACAACCAGAACTGATGATCCGGCTGCAGCGAAGAAGAAACAGTGGAGATGTGATGTGATGCAATGATACATGCCTTGTGTGGCATGCAGAGCTTGCTTTTTCCCCCAGATGTTCCGATTCCACGCAGGTCAGCTTCTTGCAACGAGGCAGACAGTCGTACAAGTGAAACTTGCTTTGCATTCTCCCGTCTCTTCTTTTCAAGCCAGGCACCCCTACCTGCGCCTGAATTCCCTGCCCGGGACATCACTGCAGCTTCGCTTGGAACAATTTGCTGAAGGAAGAAAGAACAGAGTTTGCTTTGCTTTTGAGTCGTTTGACATGCATCTTAATGACGGTTTTAAGTTGTGTGATCCAGGTGCGTGGCAGTGTGTTGCAGAAACGCAAGTCAATCAGGCCATGGCAGCAGACATGCTGAGCAAGCATCTTGCGCCTGGATATCGGGAGGCTGGAAGCTGCAGGGGTATGCAGAAGTTTCTTTGCTGATGCTTCAAACTTCTTTGGCGCCTGGACCTTCCCCGAGTTCCCTTCCATGCTTCTTTGCAGCATGGTTTTCAAGGCGCCACACCTCGACGGAATGACTCCGTGCACCAAAAACATTGCCAAAATCGCCTGAGCGAGTTCATTTGTTTTGAGCAGGTTTCAGTCTGTTACTGCAGATACATAATAGTTGTCCTACCTAGGTCCTAGATTGCAGGAGAGCAAGGCCTCCTTATCAATGGATAAGTCATGATGGCGATGTGACAGTGTTGATAGCTGTGATGGGATAAACTGGCGATGCTCAGAACGTTACGGTTACAGTGCGGTATTCAGCACTCTTTGCTTTGCCCAGTGGCCGAATGTCAGGTACGTTGATGCTTTAGGCAATCCTTTGCCCCCTATCCGGAAACTCGATGACCTGCCAAACATCAAGGATGAACATTTGTCTTGGCAATGTAATGCAACGTTGCCTCTCAAAGGAGCAGGTTGAATGTGCATTTGAAGGACACACCGGAGATGCAGAGTGCAACAGAAGTGGAAGGTGTGGCAAACGCTTGAAGGGACACCCCCGCCATGTCTGAACATGTCCCATAGAGATGCTTCAGAAAAATGTTTGCATTCCATCCGTGAAAGTGGAATCAGCGCAATGCAACATGAAGAGCAAAGAGAAGGTTGTTGATTATGCACGCCACCTTAGAGCAGCTATACACGCCAATGCCTTAGATTGGTTCCAAGTTCCAACCCAGCTTGTAGAATATTATATATATTGGGTTTGCCCCATCACCTGTAACAGTTGGTAACCAAATATATCACTCTTTTAGAGAGCGGCCTTTAGTAAGCGGAAAAATCCACTGTTACTGGTAATGGGATGATATACTCAATATAACTATATATTGTATATACACATTTATAGTTGTATATATCAAGATCGTGTGTCGTTTTACGTCTATCACACAATGCAAGTGTGTTGGATGGATTGCTACAGAGTTGGTCAGGTGGCTAGTTCTCAGAGTTTGTTTTTAGCCGAAAGCAGCGTTCCACTCATGTCAAATTGTTGTCTATCAAACATTGCTAATGTTAGAACTTAAATCCCCCTCTGGCAAACAATTGAGGGAGAGTATAGTGTCAGCCCCACCAAAACTATGCTCGTTGTCGTAGTAGGAGTGGTCGTGGTAGTAGTGGTAGTGGTAGTGGTAGTGGTAGTGTTAGTGGTAGTGGTGGTGGTAGTAGTAGTAGTAGGGAAGAGCTGCCAACAACTCCAATATCAGCATGCAGCATGGACTCTTTCCCTGCAGTTATTCACCAAAGCGTTCAAACTCAAGTTCGGACCTTCCAAATGTTCTGGCCAGGACCGATCTCAACCACTACCAGCGCGTTGATTCAGGAGGGCCCGATGTTGCAGCTTTAAGGTCTCACATGAAACTGATATGTGAATTGCATGAACGTGCTTCAGGTCGATGGCACGGCGAGCCAGCCGCGGTCAGAGGACATTGAAAGAATGCAGCTATCGTTACCTACCAGAGTAAACATGATTTTGTTGTCAATGGGTCAGATCTCAGCGTACGAGTGCAGCTTTGAAAGGGCAAGTAATTGAGGGGATTTTCGGAGCGCATGCACTGGTCATGTCATGTGATAGATACAGTTTTGAAGGCAGCTTGGGACTGTCCCAGGAAGCAGATTCTCCGCGCATTAAGGACATGTGGAGGGGCACCGGCAGGGCAAGTAGAAAAGGAAGAGTAGTCCATTCCATGCCATTTTGTAGGCCACACTATTGCTGAAAGGCATCGTGACAGAAAGTGGAAAGTCAAGGAACAAAATGTAACTTCACTTGGGTGTATCATACAGTGTATTTAGATGTTGGAGACTTTTGTCGTTGTTCCCTTGGGAGATGTTCTGCACTCCTTTAGGCGCGGTCAGCACGCTTGGAGAAACCCGTGGCAGCCCTTTGGCTGCAGAGATGCTGAAGCTGTGTACGGTGTCCAGTCACCCTTTTTCTCGCCGCAACCACCACCAGACCCATCAGCATCAGTCATTCGGGACAAGCACCACAACAGTATCGGCATACACAGCACGGGTTGTCCAATCCTTTTGAGAAAGACGTACTTTTATTGCTTGCTTCCAGGTTGCTGTTGCACATGAGCGAGCCTCGCACCTAGTAGCATCATTGTGATCCCACACTGATGAAAGCCACTCTACTTGGACTTGTACCTCACGTATTTGATGCATGCTTGATGCACTCAGGGGCCAAATTCGTCGCGTAGCGACCGACAGGAGACGTCACATGTTAGATGCTTTCTTGCTGAGCACATGAAGGGGATGTTTGTGAGATTGTAAATAGAGTTTTATCTTTGATTTCAACTAGCCGTGTTGGATGCAAACCAGTTTCTGCACTGATTGTGCAATGATGCATATCTTGCGATGTCAAACTTCAATGGATGCAAGTTTGCAGGGCTCGCATTCGTCGGCTGCAAGCGCCAGCCGTGCAAGCCGCGCAGGCATGCACACAGCTAGTAGAACTGTTGTGGTTGATGATGTACTTGTTCAAGGATCTATTGAACAAGTTTTAGGGTTTGCTGTTCTTTTCACCTGTAACTAATTTCAGCAGCCATTTATGCCACAGGAACAGACACTGGAGTCACTGGAGGCATCAAGGGTAATGGAATTCGAGCAGCCAATGAAGCAGATTTGACATTGGAGGTACGATGCATCAAGAAAGGACACAAAAAGACGAGAAAAAAGAGGGCAAGAGCCCCTTGAAGGGGCATTATTAAAGGGGCCCTTGCCTTCTGAACTAACTTTGCGTTTGAAGGCGAGCAGGGTGGCTCAAAGAGCTCCAAGTCTCGGCCAAAGGAGGTCTTCGTGTGCACAAAGAGTTCATTTTGAAGACGTAAAATAGTAGCGTCCTTGCTCCTAGTAGTAAGGCCAGGAGCCCCTACGTAGTAGCGTCCTTGCTCCTAGTAGTAAGGCCAGGAGCCCCTACGTAGTAGTGTCCTTGCTCCTAGTAGTAAGGCCAGGAGCCCCTACGTAGTAGTGTCCTTGCTCCTAGTAGTAAGGCCAGGAGCCCCT